CACTTGTTTGTCACCAGTCAAAATACCGGGCGTATCGATGATAGACAAATACTTGAGGAGATCAGCTTTGAAATTTGTAGCGCGAAGTTTATTCAAGAAAACATCACCGAACATGTCGAGTGTCTGCAATTTGGATTGTGTTTAATGTTTAATGGAATTCAGTTTTTTTCTGAAAATAATCTCGCCGTTTGATTTACGCTCTAAGAAAGTATTTGCGTGAGTAGAATGACAGGCGATTTTGTGAATGAATATCGCAGTTGAGTGAGGAGTTGTTCGAAAATGTTGTTAAAAAATTGAAGGCGAAACCTGAAATTGATATTCCTTATCGGCCACAAGCGTAGTGCCCGGTACAGTGATCGGGAACTCGTTATAAGAAATATGCGCGAAAATATCCGTCGTTGGTTCTGGACCAATGTCAGCGCCCGGATAAGTGCCACCGAGCAAATAGGAAATCATCGATGTTTTACCGACCGAATACTGCCCGAGCATCATTATTGTAGGCTTACCCTGTGAATATTATCGATGTATTGTGGTGGTAGCGAAAGAGTTATAGAATATTGTTGAATTTAGTGTGAATTGTATTGAATTTTGAAATTTGATTGTACATTTTGAAATTGTACATTTTCGCCCTCGAAACTGGATTGATGCCTTGAGAAATTGCAGTCAAATTGGGAGTTTCAAATGATTTTATAAAAATAAGAAGTTGATTAGCTGCATCATCATTTTGAAAACAGCGCTAAACTAACGAAAAGTTCTGGATCACGAATCGGAGGTGTATCGAATTGTGCGTACAAATGTCGTAGTTCGGATGGTAGCACTTTCTCATCATAAGCTATTTTCAACCGCTAAATTCCATCAGTTATACTTCACGAAAAAGATATCCAATTCATCAGTTCACTTGTCCAGTGGATTTGAGGAAAAATAGGCATTAAAGGGAAATTGTGATAAATGATGATACATCTGATTGCAATTTCGGTTCGGTTGGAATCCAACTGAATCGACTTTTTAACATTTAG